TCTCACTAACATACTAGCTGCAGGTTCGTCTCACTAACATACTAGCTGTAGGTTCGTCTCACTAACATACTAGCTGCAGGTTCGTCTCACTAACATACTAGCTGCAGGTTCGTCTCACTAACATCTAGCTGCAGGTTCGTCTCGCTAACATACTAGCTGCAGGTTCGTCTCACTAACATACTTCTGCAGGTTCGTCTCACTAACATACTAGCTGCAGGTTCGTCTCACTAACATACTAGCTGGCAGGTTCGTCTCACTAACATACTAGCTGCAGGTTCGTCTCGCTAACATACTAGCTGGAGGTTCGTCTATATTTTTCTCTCTCGCTGTCTCAAGGCTTACCTTGTCAAGGTTCACGGTCAGAAAGATCAGCACCGTAGGCAAGACTCTCTCAGCTGCTGCACTGGGGACTTTTGGTACGCGACGGGAGGCGGGGTGTTTTTGCCAGTAGATTTTGTAGTACAAGAATGCAAAAGGTTTTTGTCAGTAGGCAGGAGTTTACCTGTAAACAAGTCGTAGATTTATTATGGTTTATTATGCACCTTATATCCATGCTGTGAAGGATAGCGCAAGGCCGTATGGATAAGCAAAAGGCCTAGGAACTAGGCCCATAAAGAGTTAACTAGAGTACATCAGGATGTATATCGACAATGGCTTTTCTGTTGAGAACACAAGAAATAAGTTGTTCTAGTTGAGGGCTATTCGGAGGCGCTGTCTGCTCATGAGTCACTGCTGCGAGTGGGTGGAGGACCTAGCAGCAATGTCAGTCACTGCCGAGAGTGGGTGGAGGACCTAGCAGCAATGTCAGTCACTGCTGAGAGTGGGTGGAGGACCTAGCAGCAATGTCAGTCACTGCCGAGAGTGGGTGGAGGACCTAGCAGCAGTGTCAGTCACTGCTGAGAGTGGGTGGAGGACCTAGCAGCAATGTCAGTCACTGCTGAGAGTGTGTGAAGGACCTAGCAGCAATGTCAGTCACTGCTGAGAGTGGGTGAAGGACCTAGCAGCAATGTCAGTCACTGCTGAGAGTGGGCGGAGGACCTAGCAGCAATGTCAGTCACTGCTGAGAGTGGGTGGAGGACCTAGCAGCAATGTCAGTCACTGCTGAGAGTGGGTGGAAGGACCTAGCAGCAGTGTCAGTCACTGCTGAGAGTGGGGGAGGACCTAGCAGCAATGTCAGTCACTGCTGAGAGTGGTGGAAGGACCTAGCAGCAATGTCAGTCACTGCTGAGAGTGGGTGGAGGACCTAGCAGCAATGTCAGTCACTGCTGAGAGTGGGTGAGGACCTAGCAGCAATGTCAGTCACTGCTGAGAGTGGTGAGGACCTAGCAGCAATGTCAGTCACTGCTGAGAGTGGGCGGAGGACCTAGCAGCAATGTCAGTCACTGCTGAGAGTGGGTGAAGGACCTAGCAGCAATGTCAGTCACTGCTGAGAGTGGGCGGAGGACCTAGCAGCAATGTCAGTCACTGCTGAGAGTGGGTGGAGGACCTAGCAGCAATGTCAGTCACTGCTGAGAGTGGGCGGAGGACCTAGCAGCAATGTCAGTCACTGCTGAGAGTGGGCGGAGGACCTAGCAGCAATGTCAGCCACTGCTGAGAGTGGGTGAAGGACCTAGCAGCAATGTCAGTCACTGCTGAGAGTGGGTGGAGGACCTAGCAGCAATGTCAGTCACTGCTGAGAGTGGGTGGAGGACCTAGCAGCAATGTCAGTCACTGCTGAGAGTGGGTGGAGGACCTAGCAGCAATGTCAGTCACTGCTGAGAGGGTGGAGGACCTAGCAGCAATGTCAGTCACTGCTGAGAGGGTGGAGGACCTAGCAGCAATGTCAGTCACTGCTGAGAGTGTGTGAAGGACCTAGCAGCAATGTCAGTCACTGCTGAGAGTGTGGTGAAGGACCTAGCAGCAATGTTCATCACTGCTGAGAGTGGGCCGGAGGACCCATAGGCAATGTCAGTCACTGTGAGAGTGGTTGAAGGACCTGCAGCAATGTCAGTCACTGCTGAAGTGGGTGGAGGGCTAGATGCAATGTCAGTCACTGCTGAGAGTGGCGGAAGGACTTTAGCAGCAATGTCAAGTCACTGCTGAGAGTGGTGGAGGACCTAGCAGCATGTTCAGTTCACTGCTGAGAGGGTGGAGACTAGCACAATGTCAGTCACTGCTGAGAGGGTGGAGGACCTAGACAGCAAGTCAGTCACTGCTGAGAGTAGGGTGGAGGACCTAGCAGCAATGTCTAGTCACTCGCTAGAGGGTGGAGGACCTAGTCACAATGACAGTCACTGCTGAGAGTGGGGTGAGGACCTTAGCAGCAATGTCAGGTCACTGCTGTTAGTAAGGTGAGGACCAAGCAGCAATGCAGTCCTGCTGAGAGTGGGTGGAGGAACCTAGCAGCCAATGTCATCACTTGCTGAGAGGGTGAGGACCTAGCAGCAATCAGTCACTGCTAGAGGTGGGGACTAGCATCAATTCACGTCACTGCTGAGAGTGGTGGAGACCTAGCAGCAATGCAGTCCTGGCTTGAAAGGGTGGAGACCTAGCACTCAATGTCAGTCAGACTGCTGAGAGGGTGAGGACTAGCAGCAATGTCAGTCACTTGCTGAGAGGGTGGAGGACCTCCTGGCAGCAACGTTGGCAAGCTGACTGAAGAGCCCACTCCATGAAAAATGACTGCACAAGATTATCAGTCACTGGAGGGGCTCCTGCTAATGATTCCTTCCTCCTCTGATTGAAATTGTTGGTTAGAGATTGATAGATAAAAAAAGACAGTTATTAAAGTATATAGGTATATATTATTATGCATTACAATCAAATATATACTTGCATTTTGGTGCTAAGCAGCCACCTCCGATGTTAGTGCGTTAACAATCAAGTCAAAGGTTTGCAGTTGAACGTTGACATCCATAGAGGAACTTTAAAACGACGTTTCGGTTCGCCCTGGATCATTGTCAAACCCAGGTCCTGGACCATTGTCAAGTCCAGGTCCTGGACCATTGTCAAGTCCAGGTTCTGGACCATTGTCAAGTCCAGGTCCTGGACCATTGTCAAGTCCAGGTTCTGGACCATTGTCAAGTCCAGGTTCTGGACCATTGTCAAGTCCAGGTCCTGGACCATTGTCAAGTCCAGGTCCTGGACCATTGTCAAGTCCAGGTCCTGGACCATTGTCAAGTCCAGGTCCTGGACCATTGTCAAGCCCAGGTCCTGGACCATTGTCAAGTCCAGGTCCTGGACCATTGTCAAGTCCAGGTCCTGGACCATTGTGAATTGTTCCAGCCATGGTATTATGACTCCTTTTTTTTCCTTATGTCTTATTCTTTTTCAGTAGAGTAATATTTTCTTGACCTTGATAAATGAGACACTTGTGCAACACTGGGGTATCTTTATTCTGGAAAAGTTTCGCCCGCCAGTGGCTTCTTCAGTCCAATGCAGAGAAAAGTGAAAAATGAGGAGGAGGAGTTTGAGGTAATCAGTCGTTCAGCCTGGAGTCTTGTCCATCAGTCTTGTCGAGATTGATGTGTTCAATCCATCAGTCTTGACTGAACACATCGACTCCAGGCTGAGGGACTGATTACCTTAAATTCCTCCTCATCTTTCACTTTTTATTGGACTGAAGAAGCCACTGCCCGGTGAAACGCTTCCAGAATAAAGATACCCAAATATTACTCACGTATCTCATTTATTATTTATGAATTAAAAGAAGTCACAATACCATGGCTTGAACAACTTGTGGGTTTTGTAAACCATTTATTAACACCCTCAACCTTCCACAGGTTTAGAGCTTCTTTTTGATTATAATAATAATAATAATATGTTGTAGCAGTTTATGTATCTCATGAGTCTCTTTATTTGCTAGTTTTCTAACCATTTCATGTGATAATTTTCACAGATGGTTTGCAGAAAGGTAGATAAAAGCAATACAAAGCTGGATGGTTACGGTGATCAGGGTCCCAGTGTGTTAATGAACTTACTGTGACCTGTGAGGGAGTTGTGTTGGTTAGAGGACAGGATTACTGTCTTAAAGTCAGCCGTGATATTGGCTTTGTTATCACAAATCCATAAGACTGACTTGGAGGACTCTAGAACTATTAGACTCACGTCGAGGAGCCAAGATTCGAAAGACTTACACCCAGGAATCAAAATCGAAAAATTGACATCAACGTTGAAGAGCGTACGTTCCTTCGTAATATGAGTCTGCAGGAGGAGTGACGGGAGCAGCCACGAGACAGCCATGTTGTGACCAGCACCACCCCAGCCCAAGAGTGCCCAAGGTCGGGCTAGTGGGCGCTATGGTACTGCTGCGTACTGGTGGTGGCGCCGGTGCCAACAAGGGGGCAACACGCAGCCGTCGACGCCCCCTGGTGACCTGGCTCACCCTACGCAGTGCGTGGCGTACTCGCAAACTGCCACGCAAGCCTCCCCACAACGCCCTCCTTGTACGTCAGTCCTGCAGGCAAACTTCGTAGCAGTGGTGACACTAGTCAGCTGGCTAGTGTCACTAGCTCAGTCTGAGAAAACTTCCCCTCATTTCTTATGTTGCTACTCTTGCAAAACTGCATAGCTCCTGATGTCGCACGGAAACGTGTGAAAGTGTATATAATGCCACTGTATATATAAAGTGTATATAATGCCACTGTATATATAAAGTGTATATAATGCCACTGTATATATAAAGTGTATATAATGCACTGTAATATATAAAGTGTTATATAATGCACTGTATATAAAGTGTATATAATGCCACTGTATATATAAAGTATATATAATGCCACTGTATATATAAAGTGTATATAATCCCACTGAATAACTCACTTCACAACAAAGCTCTTTTCAATAGGCTAATCTCATATTTACCTAAATTAAACTATATGGATTTGTTTGTAATATTCACTAATATTTATTACATTTGTGTTTGGATGTGCTATTATCTTATTGTGTATTGATAATTATGTGTGAAAAGCTTTGTTTGGGTGGATGATGACTAACAATGTTTATTTTGGTGTCCGTGGCAGGCGTACTACCGCCAGGGTGTGGCTCTGCAGTGCCTGGGCCGCCATGCTGACGCCCTGGCAGCCTTCAGCAGCGGACTTGCTCAGGACCCCAAATCCCTCCAGCTGCTGGCCGGACTTGTCGAGGCTGCCATGAAGAGTCCCCTGAGAGGTGAGTCAACCAGTGAAAGTTGGTGTTGAGCGGTAGGTCCCACCTTGAACATGTGCTGATACAAAGTTCTCTCAAAGGTAAGTTCTTCCTTGTAAGAGTGAGTTTGTCCAATTTCTTACCTCTTAGGCGTTATTATGCATATTCCTAAAATTTTGTGCCAAGACTATCTCCGTCACATCCACATCAAGGTTAGGTTAGGTTAGGTAAGGTTCGTGATTTTGTTTCTTCTCTCGCCTTCGACTATTTGTTTTTGGTACAGCTGTCGGAGTAACCTTGTTCTGGACTTTCTGAATTGCCTCTTTCCTCTTTGTAAACCTCTTTAAATCATTTGTTCAATTTTTTGCAGACTTGCCATTTTTCCTGAGCTCTTCTCCTCCCTTTCTTGTTGGTTGAATTGCCTGGTCACACACACACACACACACACACACACACACACACACACCACACACACACACACACACACACACACACACACACACACACACACACACACACACACACACAAAGTGACGTAGTGGAGGTTGAAACCATACATAGTTTTAAGACGAGGTTTGATAAAGCTCATGGAGCAGGGAGAAAGAGGACCCAGTAGCAATCAGTGAAGAGGAGGGGCCAGGAGCTATGACTCTACCCCTACAACCACAAATAGGTGAGTACAAATAGGTGAGTACACACACACACACACACACACACACACACACACACACACACACACCACACACACACCACACACACACTGTGTGTAAGAGAAAGAGAGAGAGATGGACTGCTTTTGGGGTCTAAGGAGTGGACTCGTGTGGGTGAGGGCAATGGTTAGCCTGTTAGGGCTAGCTAGGTGGGGGTAAAGCGGGGAAAAGTGTGGGTGTTTGAGGATTGTTACTTGAGTGTGTGGGGGCTCTGGGACGTTAATTATTGCTACTTGTTAAACAATACTGTATGCGTCAATAGTATTCTGCTGCCTTACTTTCTATAATAGATGCGTAGGGGGTAACAACAGCTGACTGTGTTTACCCTGTCATATTCCATTACACAGAATGAGTTTCTTACATCGTGATGAAATCTGCCGGCATGCACCGGGAGACTTCAGAGTTGTAAGTAGAGTAAGGAGGGGAGGAGACAGAGAGATAAGTGTGGGAGGGACAGAGAAAGATGGTGGTGGAGAGGAGGAAGTAGAGAGTAGACTCAGTAGAGGGAAGGAAGAATATGAGTGAGAATTAAAAGAAGCGGGGAAACAACTTTCGTGCTGCCTATGTACATATATTTTTCACTCTCTGTATACATAACCCGGACTTAACTCCTTCACTACTGCCTTCCTCACTGGCTACTGACTCCTTCACTCCCAAACTTACAAGTCACTGGCTCCATCACTATTAATTCTCCCTCACTCCCTCACCAGTGACTTCCTCACTCTCTCACTACTGACTCTCCCTCACTAGTGACTATTCCTCGCTACTGACTCACCCCCTCCCCCTAAAATTATCCCATACTGGCCCATCACGCTTGCTCTCTCTCTCTCTCTCTCTCTCTCTCTCTCTCTTTCTCTTTCTCAGCGTTTCAATTTCTTTATTTCTCAGCCACGTCGTGTATCTTCCCTCACCCTCCTTCAGCCTCCCTCACCCTGCATGTCCAGGGTAAACTAGTGAGAGGGGATGGAGTGGAATCTAGGCAGGAAGGGAGGAGGTGAGAGTAACAGGGAAGGAGGGGGGAGGCAAGAGGATCAGGGAGAGAAGTATGAGAGGATCAGAGGAGAGAGAAAGAGATGAAAGCATCAAGGAGAAGGAAGTGAGGGGATCAAGGGAGAGGATCAGGAGAGGGGGGAGAGGGAAGGGAGTGCGGAGAGGGAGCATAAGTGTCACCACACACAAGATGTTATCACATCAACTTACCGCTGGTGGTTTCAAAAGAAACTTGCATTCATATTACACACACACTCTCTCTCACACACACACACACGCACACACACTCACACACACTACACACACACACACACACACACACACACACACACACACCCACACACACACACAACACACACCACACACACACACACACCACACTATAAACACCCCGTGGTGTACACACACACACACACACACACTATAACACACCCTTTACACACACATAAACCCGAAAACACACACACACACACACACACAACACCACACCTTACACACACACACACACACAACACACCACCACACACACACACGGTATAAACCCCCGTGGTGTACACACACACACACACCACGGTATAAACCCCCGTGGTGTACACACACACACGGTATAAACCCCCGTGGTGTACACACACAACGGTATAAACCCCCGTGGTGTACACACACACACGGTATAAACCCCCGTGGTGTACACACACACGGTATAAACCCCCGTGGTGTACACACACATCACGGTATAAACCCCCGTGGTGTACACACACACACGGTATAAACCCCCGTGGTGTACACACACACACGGTATAAACCCCCGTGGTGTACACATACACACAACAACCCACACACACACCGGTAAAAGCCCCCGTGGTGTAACACACACACGGTATAAAACCCCCGTGGTGTACACCACACTCACGGTATAAACCCCCGTGGTGTACACACACACACGGTATAAACCCCCGTGGTGTACACACACACACGGTATAAACCCCCGTGGTGTACACACACACACACGGTATAAACCCCCGTGGTGTACACACACACACACACACACACGGTATAAACCCCCGTGGTGTACACACACGGTATAAACCCCCGTGGTGTACACACACACGGTATAAACCCCCGTGGTGTACACACACACACGGTTATAAAGCCCCCGTGGTGTAACACACACACGGTATAAACCCCCGTGGTGTAAAACACACACGGTATAAACCCCCGTGGTGTACACACACACGGTATAAACACCCCGTGGTGTACCCCACCCCACGGTATAAACCCCCGTGGTGTACACACACACGGTATAAACCCCCGTGGTGTACACACACACGGTATAAACCCCCGTGGTGTACACACACACGGTATAAACCCCCGTGGTGTACCACACACACGGTATAAACCCCCGTGGTGTACACACACATGGTATAAACCCCCGTGGTGTACACACACACACGGTATAAACCCCCGTGGTGTACACACACACGGTATAAACCCCCGTGGTGTACACACACAACGGTATAAACCCCCCGTGGTGTAAAACACACACGGTATAAACCCCCGTGGTGTACACACACACGGTATAAACCCCCGTGGTGTACACACACACACACGGTATAAACCCCCGTGGTGTACACACACTCAGCTGCAGCTTCATGCCACAATATCTTCACTAATACCACCCCAATGTAACTTTTTTTTTATTCCCGTGAAAGAAATTAACTTGTTTGTGTGTGTACTTGTACTTTATTTGCCGGCCTTTTTTACGCCCGCCAGGGTAGACTACCAGACGTTCTTGTTGTTGTTGTTGTTGTTGTTGAGGATAGCGATGGTCTGGGTACGTAGGGATTACGTTCATATATACACGTATACAATTTGTGTTTCCTACCATCCTAATGCTGTAAAAGAGGATTGCGGAAAATTCTGTCTTCTGATATTTGTTTTGGTTTGGACAGAAACATCGTGTAGTAAATGTAAATGAAAATATTTGTAAGTGGAGGTAAAAAAAAAAAAACACAGATATAACTTCTGCTGGAGTTATGTCAGTATTGATGTTACCTGGATTACCTGGAGGTTATTCCGGGGATCAACGCCCCCGCGGCCCGGTCCATGACCAGGCCTCCCGATGGATCAGGGCCTGATCAACTAGGCTGTTACTGCTGGCCGCACGCAGTCCGACGTACGAGCCACAGCCCGGCTGATCCGGCACTGACTTTAGGTATCTGTCCAGCTCTCTCTTGAAGGCAGCCAGGGGTTTATTGGCAATTCCCCTAATGCTTGATGGGAGGCTGTTGAACAGTTTTGGGCCCCGGACACTTATGGTGTTTTCCCTTAGTGTGCCAATGGCGCCCCTACTTTTTATTGGGGGCATTTTGCATCGCCTGCTCAGTCTTTTACTTTCGTAGGAGTGATTTCTGTGTGCAGATTTGGGACCATTCCTTCCAAGATTTTCCAAGTGTAGATTATGATATATCTCTCCCTCCTGCGTTCCAACGAGTACAAGTCAAGTGCTTCCAAGTGTTCCCAGTAGTTAAGGTGCTTGACAGAAACTTATACGTGCAGTAAAGGATCTCTGTACACTCTCTGATCTGCGATTTCACCTGCTTTGAATGGAGATGTTAATGTACAGCAGTATTCCAGCCTAGAGAGAACAAGTGATTTGAAAAGGATCATCATGGGCTTGGCATCTCTCGTTTTGAAAGTTCTCATTATCCATCCTATCATTTTCTTTGCACGTGCGATCGTGGCACTGTTGTGATCCTTGAAAGTGAGATCCTCAGACATTACTACTCCCAGGTCCCTTACATTAGTTTTTTGCTCTATTGTATGGCCGGAGTCAGTAGTATACTCTGTTCTAGTTTTATCTCCTCCAGTTTTCCATAACGGAGTAGTTGGAATTTGTCCTCATTGAACATCATATTGTTTACCGTTGCCCACTGGAAAACTTTGTTTATATCTTCTTGGAGGTTAACCGCGTCCTCAGCAGATGACAGCCTCATGCAGATCCTAGTATCATCCGCAAAGGATGATACGGTGCTGTGGTGTATATCTTTGTTTATGTCTGATATGAGGATAGGAATAAGATGGGGGCGAGTACTGTGCCTTGTGGAACAGAGCTCTTCACTATGGCAGCCTCCGATTTAACTCTGTTGACCACTACTCTTTGTGTTCGATTTGTTAGGAAGTTGAAGATCCATCTCCCCACTTTCCCAGTTATTCCTTTAGCACGTATTTTATGGGCTATTACGCCATGATCGCATTTGTCAAATGCTTTTGCAAAGTCTGTGTATATTACATCTGCATTCTGATTTTCTTCCAGTGCATCCAAGG